GGTACATCTCCCATATAGATAAAATTATTTTATCTTACAAAATTTAATATGCATGACACTTAGATTGAATGTAAACGTTTTTAATGTAATTCAAATATGTTTAAGATTATGGGTTCTCTTAAACCTATTTGAGCTCACCAAACCAAAAAAATAAAAATAAACCGCAACTTTAATTATAGTAATATGGATACAGTTAAACAATATAAAATAAAATAATTGTATGATATTATATATATGGTATCCAAATAGAAATAAATACAATTTTTATAAATTAATTAACATCGGTAAATGATTCACCGTTAAAGAAATATGTTATATAATGTTTAAACTATTTAAATATTATGTTTTAGTTGGAGTTAAATTAGTAACATATGTATTTGTGAATTCATGTATAAAAATTAACGTAAATATGTAGATTTTTAGCATGTCATATAGAATTAATTAGAACTTTTTTTATTGGTTAATTTAATTGATGTGTCTCTTAATATCTTCAATGATTGGCACATATGATTTTTTTTTACTTAGTGTCTCCTCGATTAAATATATAGAGAATTATATATACTTATTTAATCTGAAAATTTTATTTTCTACAAATATTATAAAATATATATCTTAGGAAAATATAAATAAATACTTAAAAAAATTATAAATAAAAATTATATTTAAATGTAGAGGAATTTTGGAAAATGCCATTTTTAGGATGCTACTTTTCAAAAATGCCATATTTTCAAAATCTTTGCATAAATACCATTTTTCAAAATTATTTATTCAATATATCATTTATGTCTGTGTTAACTATGTTATATTAGAGTTTAGTTTTGATGATTTAGGATTTGTTAGGTCAAAACATTTTTTAGAGTTTAGAATTTTAAGAATTAGGGGCTTAAAAATCCTTAATTAGTAGATTTTTGCAAAGATTTTTAAAAAATGTTATCTCAAAAGTGACATTTTTGTAATTGTTTCAGTGTAACTCGTGATCATAGTTTTATATAATATATATATCTCTAACTTCTAGATTTTGACCCCGCGGCAAGCGCGA